CGATTTTGACATATCAAAAACGTCATGAACCAAGCTTAGACATATGGTAAACAAACCGTTCCAGTCTCTAACAAGTTTAAACAGAACCATAAACACTTGACATTGGCCCAATCCGATGAGGGAGAGCCGTAAACAAGAAACAGAACAGAAACAAACCGTTGCGACACATGAGTGTTTTTTGTTTTCGCATTATATATAATATGTCATGTTTTATCTGTAGATTTTACATATTTCCTGACGTCTATCAGGCCAGGTATCAATGTTTGACTTATTAGGACACGACCACTGACCTCTATAAATGGACTGACCATAAGACGAGTGGATTGGAACTAATAATATAGATAGAATTAACTATCACTTGACATCAAGAGGCGCGTTTAATGAATGATGCAAAAGCTGTAATTTCCAAGCAATTGCCTATCTGTTTATAGTCAGTGGATATGACCATTTTTTCATTTCTAGATCAAATTTAGGTCATAGTGTACCTAGATATTATTGCCTCATGTAGGAATAGAGCTTGCCTATTTGCTAAAAATACATTAACTTTTTTATAGATTATAAAAAATATATTTTTAATTAATTGTCTATAATTTTATTGTTATAAAATTTGCGAATACTTTCTACTAATTGTTTCAAAAGTGAATGTTTAACTTTATGTTATACAGATTATAAATAAAAAATTTCCCGCCATTAATATTTCAATTACGATTTAATCTATGCACATGTAATGTTATGTTAAAATGGCGGGAAAGTAATTGACGTTTTCATTTATGCATAAATATATAATCTATAGATTAAAAGTTTTATATATAAAAATTTCGTGTCTATTTAAGATATATTAGTTTGATATTGACGTGTATGAAGTATAGAATTAATTTTGTATGAAGATTAATGTTGTACTTAATATACAGTTGTCAAAGTGTCGGAGTGTACGTGAACACTATCGAGAATCAAAATAATTTTAGGTTAGGTTATTACTTTTTGAATATTATATAGTTAAAAACAATTCTTTTTAATTTATCAACTAATTTAATTCGAAAACAATAATCACGAAATGTTTGATTGCAAGTTCTATGAGAACAAACATCGAAAATCTAAAAGATTCATAAGAGATTTTACTCAACACATATCTAACGAATTGTCACACTAATCTATCTTAAATAGACACACTATAAACGTGAATCGACTTTCCTTATATCATTTTTTATTGTTAAAGACACCCACTGAAGAAATTGACCCAAACTAAAGGACTCCGTATGCCTTTTATGGCCCCTATTAATCTATAGGTCATATTTCTATATGTTTATAATATTTGAGGCTCTATATGTTTGTATATCAGAGAATATATAATATTATTTTACTGTGAAATCTTAGTTTTTATAATTACCATTATTTATTTAATTGCGCAATTTTAAAATACCCACAATCATCAAAACTCTATAATTGGACTGGCTACAAGACGTAGTGATTTGTGCCAATTCGGTATTGTTTCAAACTAATAATATACATAGATATAATTAACTGTCACACATTAATAGGGCTAAACGAAATGCATTCGAAATGATTCCATAGAGAACTTCAAAAATGTATGGAGCTGACGCGCGACCATCGCTTGACATATCCAAAGTTATTGTCAGTTCTATACGTGTCTGAAGTTCGTTATGGAATCGCTTTTAACCCATTAGTGCATAAAGTTTATTAACGCCTTTTTCATTATGATCACTGTAATATATTTTCATTTCGAGTTTATTTGACCATTAAATTGTATAAAATATTAGGATACTGCGCCGTCCGATTTTTACTTGTTCCGTTCGATGTCCCATGGCCTGGCTGATCAACAGTTGCACTCATATGAAGACATCAAAAAATGGCTTGATTCGTGGATAGCCTCAAAAGACGAACACTTCTGGCGTCAAGGTATTCGAGCTCTACCAGAAAGATGGGAAAAAGTTGTGTCTAGCGATGGGCAATACTTTGAATGATTAATTTGTAACCATTTTTTAATAATAAAGTTATATTTTTATCGAAAAAAAAACCGAGAACTTAGTTGCGCACCTAATATTTAATCAATATGAAAGTTTAGATTTTATAGCCCGTCCGATAAATCGCTTCACGGAATGTCATACCAACAGTATTACCATTTCAAATATATATTACACTACTGTTTAAAAAATAAACGGTTAGTAAAATATATCTTATATATATAACTCCTAAAATAACAATTTTATTGGCGTCCGATTTATCGAACGTTATGCACTAATGGGTTAAGCGAATGCACTTTGTCTAATCTCTCTGGTGCGTTTAATTCGGGTCGAAAGATAAAAGATGTCATTTTCAAGCAAGAGCCTATCCATATCAGTTTGTTAGTAGGTAAGAAATCGAATTAATAATAACTGGCAGAAACTTTAACAATCGCTTTAAAATCTGAACATAACAAAAGCTGTCATTTCCAGCGACTTGTCCAATAAGGTCAGCTTGGGAATTGCTTAAGATAATATAATGTTCCTAGCTTTAAGCTGCTGAGGCCACGCGTTTTCGACTATCCATTCTTGATACTTGTAGTAGGAAGAGTTTGTATAAGATCCATATAATTGAAAACCACATCTTGGTCCCCAAGAGACGACGCCTGCGACGAAATACGAACAGCGTACAAATTGTTTGCTCAGTGTCATCAAGGGACCACCGCTGTCACCCTGAAATTATATGTATTTTATAGTTGTATAGAGTGTCCCAAAAGGTTACGTACATAGGAAGGGGGATGATAGGGGTGGTCACAAGGGTCACCAGAAAAATTAAATAAAAATTCCCCTCTGGGTATTAAAAAAAATAAATGGCATTTTTTAAAAACTTAAAAATTTTACACCTTCTGGGGCAATTTTAATTTTCTTTAAAATCTTTGTTAGTTGTATTGTTTTTTTTTATTTCATATTGATAAAGGGTTATTGATGATAACATAATAGCTTTTTGTTTAAATGTATTATAGCAATATTTGTAGGCCATCGGTTACAAAATTGCCCCAGAAGGTGTAAAATTTTTAAGTTTTTAAAAAATGCCCTTTATTTTTTTAATACCCAGAGGGGAATTTTTATTTAATTTTTCTGGTGACCCTTGTGACCACCCCTATCATCCCCCTTCCTATGTACGTAACCTTTTGGGACACCCTGTATACATTTGATACTAAAGTAGCATAATTAGTAGCCTACGTGTTCTTCCAGACTATGCTCTACATCTTTGCCAAATTCCAATAGCTTTTGATAAGTTACGTGATTGTCGCGCTTCAATGCCATACAATTTTAAAGTTCGCTAGTGAATCGCTTAAAGCGAATGCTGTCTAACCCCGCTGTTCTCTCTGTCACGAACGAATGTGAACATCCACGTTCACGGCATGACTTGTGCCGAGAACAAGCTAATGTAGAGCCACCATTAAACGTTAAAATAACTTACGGTGAAGGAAAACATATTGATGCTGCACATATCTGTGAATGTCAAAGACATGTGTGAAGTGACGCACTGGAACAGCATTCACTATCACATAGTTACATCACTTAGGGTAGATAAGACCCTCAGTGGGGACTTATAGTGAGCTGATGATGATAATAACTAGTTAATACAAATTACCTTACAAGTGTCCTGATTCGGTCGAGATTCTCCTGATTTAGCGCATATCATGGTATTACTGTCCCAAACGAAAAAATTCTGATGCAGAACGTCTTTGCACCTAGAGTGGTTATATTCCTGAAAAACTGTCGCCTGAAAACAATATTTAATGACATAATAAGTTATATACAATTTATAAATTACAACTCACATCAAGTTGTTTTTTTATATTATAAGATGGCAAACGAGCGAGCGGCTATCTGAAATCGCTGAAATAGTGAAGTAACCGTTGCCCATAGACATACGCAATTGCATATGCGTTGCCTACCTTTAATCGACGGAGGAGAGGATGCACAGAAAGAAAATATATTCCCTTGCCATGTATCCTATCATCCGGAAAGGCCACTTCCACTTTCCATCGTTTCCTTATAAGAAAAACGGTGGGAAGCGAAAGAAGACTAAATTAGGCCTCCGGGACACACACTTATTAGACTGTACGCGGAATAGCTTCCACTTGAGGCGTGTCTTCTGTATGGTCGTGGTATTTCACCGGGCGAGCCGGGACAATTCGTGCGGAGATGTTAAAGCTCGCTCTACAACTGTTAAAATATTTCAATTCAGTAGTTTTGTAAAACTTACTAATATTATAAAATGCATTTATTTAGATGGATGTTTGTTAGAAGATATTTCCAGAACGGCTGTATGGATCTTGATAAAATTTGGCATAGACGTAGAACTTAATCTGCAAGAATATAGAGGCTACAATTTTTTTTTAATTCCGTAAAGACGGCATCACTGGTGACAGCCAAATACCAACCTTCAGTAATACATCACTGGTATTTTGTCTCTCCCCCATACTACCCCACCCTGCTACTGTACATGATGTGTATTCATATTCCTTCGAGCCAGGGAATGGGAGACACGCTGGCCGAATGTAATCAGAAAATATAACACTGCAAATGAACAAATAAATCATTTTAAACGGTATTATTTAAGTTACTCACCGGATTTATGAGACCAGAATCCCCAATTATAACATTTTATCTTCATTTTGTTAAAGATAATGTCATGATATGTTTAGTACAGAGATTTTGGTCTCGGAAACCCAATGTTAACGAATCTAAGAATCTGTCAATTGATATTCACACCATTAACAATTGAACAGAACGTTGGGTAAAGAGACAGATTAATTACTAGAGTTTAATTTGCTCTGTTTATTTACATCAAATGTAACTGCATCGTAAAGCAATTAATTACATGAAAAACAAATCAGTTGATTTTTTTATTTATTAATGATAGAAAGAGTAAACGATCAGTCGATGAATATAGTCCCAATTCCTCTCACGTTGAAGATAACCAACACAGCACTGATCCACAAACTAAATGGAAAAATCCGCTGGAGCTGGACTTTAGAATCCAACTTGGAAGCCTACCATAGTAGATACCGAAAGATCTATACACAAATCAGAGCTGGCTTTCGTCTCAGAAGATTAGAAGACGCAAAAGGTGTGTTGGTACTTTAGCTACGTGGTGCGGCTGTAGGGTTACCAGATCCTGCCCCCTTTACTGGTAGACTGGTAGAGACTGCATCTTTGGATGACAATGACAACTCACCGAGTATGAACTTTGAGGAGGGCAATATCGTTTTTCTTCGTTTGCGAGTTGTATTCAGGATACTTTATGATTTTCACAACGTGGTAGAGTTCTCCGCTGCGTGTATCGTTTTTATAAATAGTTCCTAATAGTGCGTAATTAACAACTCCACTGGAACAAAACATTGTGTATATTTTAGTAAATCGAAATATAGTTACATGGAACTAGCTGAAATTGGTCGTAGATGTAGAACATAGTCTGGAAGAACACAGGCTACACTGGATAGAGTCACAGACGACAGCTAGTGTGATAAAGACAGCTAACGTTTATACGTTATGAGTTTTGTACTCACGTGTCACGGCTACCGACAGCGTGAGCCGCAGTCAGAATAAAATATTCGCTTATCAGAGTTCCGCCACCTATCCAACTGATTGGCTTGGCCGCATCCTTTCTACCACCGAGAACTGCCTGAAACATAAAATTCACATAAGCTACCACTGGCCTCTATAAATGGACCGGCTATAACGTAGTATTTTGTGCCTACATGATCATTTTGGCAATGATGTTAGTGGTGAAAATATCTGTCATGTAACGTCAGAAGCCGCGTTATAATTGAAACAAAAGAAAAATAGTGATTTCCAAGCAATTGCCTATCCATTATAAGATACCAGTGTAAGTTACGGATATCCTATATGATTCCACAAACACACAAGAACTACTTTTAGAAAATACTTAAAACTATCTTCGAAACGTATTTTTTTTTTATCAAAAGTTGGCAAATGAGTGAGCCGCAATCAGAAACCGCTAGAATAGAGAAGTGGCCGTTGTTCATAGAGATATGCAACTGCATCCATCGTATTTAATGGACGGAGGAGAGGATGCACAGAAAGATAATATTTTCCCTTCCCATACACCTGGAAATCCACTTCGACGGCCAATCCTTTCCTTATAAGAACAAAGGGTAGGAAGGGTAAGAGGACTAAAATTAGAAGTCGGGGACGCACACTCATTAGTGTAGTTGGAATTGTCTTCACTTGACGCCTAGCTGTGTGGTCATGGTATAGCAGCGAAGCCCATTCGTGCGAAGATGTGAAAGCGGGCTCTACCACTGTTTATGACTTACCATATGTGGGAATTCTGAAACCTTAGCTGGATCACCATCAGATATTTTTGTTATACTCCTGAATCTCTGACAGTCATCTCGAACATACCAATCTGTGTTTATGTCACTTGCCAAACATTTACTTCCCAATCTCGAATATGCGTAGCACGCTAAAATGTAAACATTCATCAAGCTCACTAATTTAATTTTTCTATGTACTTTTGAAGAATAAAGATAGCATAGAAAGAAATATTCGATAATTGAAAATTTTCATAACCGATTTTACTCAACCCATCTCTAGGGATATTTTTTTATATCATAAGGTGGCAAACGAGCGAGCGGCCACCTGAAATCGCTGAAATAGCGAAGTGACCGTTGCCCATAGACATACGCAATTGCATATGCGTTGCCTACCTTTAACCAACGGAGGAGATGCATAGAAAGAAAATATTTTCCCTTTCCATGCATCCTCTCATCCGGAAAGTCCACTTCCACTTCCCATCCATTCATAAGAAAAAGGGTGGGAAGGCCTCCGGGACAATTGTCAAACTAATCTATCTTAAATAGACACTTTAACTTACCATCGTATATCACACTTTGATGTGGTGTCATGCTGCTACGTGCATACGGTTTCTCCAGTTCTGGACATTTTGGTGGCTCGTTGAATTTCAATGTGGTGAAGTCGTGAACAATGCGGCAACATTTTACAGGGAATGTACCATTGAACCGACATTCCTGAAATGATTTTTAAGAAATAATTCATCACTAGCTAACTATACGTCCCCACTGAGGTGCTCGGAGCCTACCCTAAGTTATGTGACTAGGAAGTCAGGCTGGTCCAATGAGTCACTTCACACATATCTTTGACATTCGCAGATATGTGCAGCATCACGATGTTTTCCTTCCCCGTATGGATTGGTTCATGGAGAACGAAGGTGACTACATTTAAAATTAAATCTTACTAACATTATAAATGAGAAAGTTTAAATAGACGGATGTTTGTTATTTTTTTTATATCATAAGATGGCAAACGAGTGAGCGGCCACCTGAAATTGCTGAAATAGCGAAGTGACCGTTTCCCATAGACATACGCAATTGCATATGCGTTGCCTACATTTATTCGACGGAGGAGAGGATGCACAGAAAGAAAATATCTTCCCTTTCCATGCATCCTCTCATCCGGAAAGTCCACTTCCACTTCCCATCCTTTCCTTATAAGAAAAGACTGGGAATGGAAAGAGAACTAAATTAGGCCTCCGGGCCGCACACTCATCAGACTGCACGCAGAATTACTTCCATTTGACTCCTGTTTTCTGTGTGGTCGTGGTATTTCACCGGGCGAGCCGGGACAATTCGTGCGAAGATGTTAAAGCGGGCTCTACCACTGTTATGCGTAGTTACAACTTTAAACAAACATCCATCTATATAGACAGATTTTTTATTAAAACTTACAATATCACCGCCCTTCAAGAGTCCTTCTTCATGGAATTTGACTAACTCTCTATCCGAAATTGTTTCCCTCGGTTTTTGTTCTAATGGGTTACTCGTTGCTGGTGTTATTTTTGTTGTTTCAGCGCAACAAACATATCTCTTGTCATCTTCATAAAGACAATCCTGAAATTGTTAAAACTCTCCAATTACATCCATCAACAATTATAAGAATAAACGGTTGTATCTTTTGATTGGGTTGGCTTAGAAGTTTTATTTTTTCACATCACTAGCTGTCGCCTGCGACTCCGTCCGCGCGGGATTGAAAATAGATGTTGGCCGATTATCAGACCTACTCAATATGCTCACAAAATTTCATGAGAATCCGTCAAGCCGTTTCGGCGAAGTATTGGAACGAAAATTGTGACACAAGAATTTTATATATAAGATTAATTAGAATCTTTTGGCGCGAATGACATGCTTTCGTTACAAAGTGAGGTGTCAGAATGATTAGTGAAGGGACATTTTAGTAAGGCTAGTGTTGTGCCAGTACACCGGCATAGATTTTTCTTCCTAACAGTTTGGTGAAGGAACGTAAACTGATTGTGGGAATGTATTGCACGGTGTTTACACTGTCCATTTACTTTTAACTTATCCAATGTTACCTTAATTTTTGTCCTCTTTCTGAGTCGATTTAATGCGTATGGACATTCATAAAGATATTTACAAACACCGGCCTCGTTGGTATTTGTGGTACATACAGAACCTGGAACAAAACATGAAAAAAGTTCAGCTCACTAAGTCCCCACTGAGGGTCTCGTTATCCTAAGTGATGTCACTAGGTCATAGTGAATGCTGGTCCAATGTGTGTTGCGATTTAAATTGGTCTGTTATAAAAAAAAAAAACATTTTTTTCTTCACCAAATAAACCAAGTATGACTAAATACAGTCCGTTTTAACGTCTTCGCATGAATTGTCCCGGCTCGTCCGGTGAAATACCACGACCACACAGAAGACGGGCGTTAAGTGGAAGCAATTCCGCGTTTCGTCTGATGAGTGTGCGTCCCGGAGGCCTAATTTAGTCCTCTTTCTCTCCCCACCCATTTTCTTATAAGGAAAGGAAGCGGAAGTGAACTTTCCAGATGAGAGGATGCACGGAAAGGGAACATATTTTATTTCTGTGCATCCTCTCCTCCGTCGATTAAAGGTAGGCAACGCATATGCAATTGCGTATGTCTATGGGCAACGGTCACTTCGCGATTTCAGCGATTTCAGGTGGCCGCTCGCTCGTTTGCCACCTCAAATTATAAAAAAAAAACTAGAAATAAAGTGGTCTATGTAAAATATTTGGCTAAATCTATGAGCATCTTTGAACATAAAATTATAAATGAATCCGAGCTTCTTCTACTCTATTTAACTAACGTAATAAACATTAATATAACGAACATTCCTATTACTTCTTACTAATATTATAAATGCGAATGTTTAGATGGATGTTTGTTTGAAGGTATCTGCGGCACGGCACGGCTGACCGGATCTTGAAGAAATTTGACATACATATAGAACATAGTCTTGAAGAACACATAGGCTACTATTTTTTTAATTCCACGCGGACAGTCACGGACGAAAGCTAGTAACTACATAATTACTTTAAACATGTTTCATTTGTTCTGAATAAGTTTATTTTGTATCAGACCACTTTAGTTCCAAGTTGAAAATCGCGTAACATACTTATTGGGCTTAATACAACTTATTTGTATACGTAAAAGCTAAGGAACAAAACCAGAGGTTTAGAAAAAACAAAAAAATACCTATTTCATAATCACCATCATCACAATTCACTAATAATAAAGTAAATAACAATAATATTATAACTTTTTTCATTGTAAATAGATTAATATATTAAAAAAAAATCACTTGCGAACAAGCAAACTCGACGATATAAATTAGTAACTGCAAAGAGGCCTTGGGATTCTTACAGTTTATCAAAGTTCAAGTTGCTTGATAGATAAGTATAATTTAAATAAATTAAATCCGACATTTCTTTTGTAACGTCAACGGAAATCTTACTTATAAATGCGAATTTTTGGATGAATATTTGTAAAAAGGGATAGCAAGGGGTTAGACAAAGTGCATCGTAGACTATTCATCATCGTCAGCTCACTATACGTGCCCACTGATGAGCTCGGAGCCTACCCTAAGTTAAGGGTGACTAGGCCATAGTTAACCACGCTGGCCAAGTGCGGGTTGACTTCACACATATCTTTGCATCAGATATGTGCAGCATCACGATGTTTTCCTTCATCGTAAGAACGTCGTACATTTGTAAATATGAAATCGAAAAACACATTGGTACATGGCGGAATTCGAACCCAGGACCTGCAGATTGCAAGTCAAGTGCTTGACCCCTGAGCCACCGACGCTCTTAAGACTACTAATTAAGTTTTATTTTAATTCCACGCGGACGGAATCGCGTACGACAGCTAGTGTAATCCTTCGACAGAATTGTTTGACTGCTCAATACTTTTTCCAGAGGAGAATGACTGGGACGCGGTAGTGATGTGGGATTCTCTTCCAGATGGGAAGCATTCTCACTCAATCCCTCTGTTCCTCCTACGTATCCTGGAACCACGGGCACGCTTACGCTATCGTCTGAGACCTCGACTGGTCTGCTCGAAACCTTTCAGGCTTTTAATTTCCTATAAAGTTCTTATTAATTGAAGGTTTATTCTAAATTTCTACATAAAGTCGCTGAAAACAGCCAGTATATAAATATAAACAAATTAGTTGCATTTGAATCTTCCTTAAAATTAATCACAAAACGGACAAACCAGTAACATTACTCCCGATAATTTATCAAAATATTATTCTAACCTAAGAACTGTGCTCTGACATTTGTTATAACACTCATCGGACAGAAATTTGAGGAAAATGCACATAAATACTTTATAAAAAAAAACTTAATAAGTAGCCTATCTGTTCTTTCAGACTATGTTCTAATTCTGTGCTAAATTTCATCAAGATTCAGTATTTTCGAAGATACTTTCAAACCAACATCCATCTAAACATTCGCATTTATATTAGTAATATTAAATCTGAAGATTTATACCTCTATATGGAGCATACGGGGCATAAAATTGAGGCAAAATAGGCCCCCGAGTGCCTTTTTGGTGGTAAATTTCCCCGGTGTTTTTACGCTACAATCTTTACTAATATTATAAATGCGAATGTTTAGATGTATGTTAGAAGATATCTCCAGAACAGCTACATGGATCGTGATGATACTTGTCATAGATGTAGAACATAGTCTGGAAGAACACATAGATTACTAATTGTGTTTGTTTTTAATTCCATGCGGACGGAGTCGCCGGCGACAGCTAGTTGATTATAAATGCAATAAAACAACAGAATAATTCAAATCTTTATTTCGACAAAAATAAGTTTATTATTTTTATTTTTATTTCTAATAGAAATTAATGCGTATTTCTTCTGTACCAAAATCTTGCCCTGTAGTCATCACTGCAAGTTAGGAACGCAGGCGCAGTTCCAGAATGTACTATATACCTAGGAATTAAAAGATATTAAGCTGGGACAGTTCTTACGGTGAAGGAAAACATCGTGATGCTGCACATATCTGAGAATGTCAAAGATATGTGTGAAGTGATGCACTGGACCAGCATTGACTATGACCTAGTCACATAACTTAGTGTAGGCTCCGAGCACAGTGGGGACATATAGTGACCTGATGATGATGAAGCTGGGACAACTAAGTTAAGGGGTTAAGCACTTGACTTGTCTACATATCTTGGATTCGAATCCCGCTATGTACCAATGTGTTTTACATATGTACATTTATCCTATGTTGTTACGGTGAAGGGAGACATCATGACGCTGCACATATCTGTGAATGTCAAAGATATGTGTGAAGTGACGCACTGGACCAGCATTCACTATCACCTAGTTAACTTAGGGTAACGAGACCCTCAGTGGGTTATAGGTATAGTTACCTGACAGCACCATTATGTCCGAGTGACATAAGGTTACACCTGTTGGCTGAGCGCGAGTGCCATGTGCAGAGTGAGGTGGTCGCCTCGTCAGGAAACATTACGTAGTCTTCTGTGTGGTTCAATATTGCTTGTGCGTGATGTTCCTGTTTACCTGCGTACATGGTGTGGATATTGATTTGATTTAATGTCAATAGTATGGATATTCATTTGGTGAAATATGTCAATAGTATGGATTTTAATTTGATTCAATATGTTAAATAAGTTTTATAAATAAAAGGCAAAAGCATGAAAGGTCGTGCTTCCACAGACATTGGGCACTTAAGAGAGTTGTGGAAACACCGACCTTTGTATATGGACTGGCTCAAAGACGTGGTATTTTGTGCGTATTTGATTTTAAGCGGTGTTGTGGAATGCAACTGATCATATACATAGATAGCTGTAATTTCCAACAATCGCCTATCCATTTATATGATGATCTACAGTCAGTTTACAAAGTGACGATGTGATGATGTGCTCACCGGTGGTGCCGGCCCCGGTGTATTGTATGAGACACCTGCTGCTGGCCAGCTCCCACAGCTTGATGGAGGAGTCTAGACCAGCCGTCAGCAGATACTGGAATCATATATAGAAAATACTCAGAAAAAAAGGTGTGCCCACAGTGTGCCAGTAGTATGCCACGACGTGTGCCAATAGTGTGACACGAGGTGTGCCACGAGGTGCGCCACTAAGTATGCCACGAGATGTGCCAGAAAGTGTGCCACTAAGTATGCCAGTAGTGTGCCACGAGGTGTGCCAGTAGTGTGCCACGAAGTGTGCCAGCAAGTATGCCACGAGGTGTGCCAGAAAGTGTGCCACTAAGTATGCCAGTAGTAAGCCACGAGTTGTGCCAGCAAGTATGCAAGTAGTATGCCACGAGGTGTGCCAGAAAGTGTGCCACTAAGTATGCCACGAGGTGTGCCAGCAAGTATGCCAGTAGTGTGCCACGAGGTGTACCGACAAGTATGCCAGTAGTGTGCCACGAGTTGTGCCAGAAAGTGTGCCACTAAGTATGCCACTAAGTATGCCACGAGGTGTGCCAGCAAGTATGGCAGTAGTGTACCACGAGGTGTGCCGACAAGTATGCCAGTAGTATGCCACGAGGTGTGCCAGCAAGTATGCCACGAGGTGTGCCAGAAAGTGTGCCACTAAGTATGCCACGAGGTGTGCCAGCAAGTATGCCAGTAGTGTGCCACGAGGTGTGCCGACAAGTATGCCAGTAGTATGCTACGAGGTGTGCCAACAGTGTGCCACGAGATGTGCCACTTGATGTGCTAGCAAGTGTGTCAGTAGCGAGTAACAACGTGTGCCAGTACCTTGCTGTTCCTGGTGAACGCGACGGAGCAGACCTCAGAGCCGTCGTGCGCCGCAAGGAATGTGTTGAAGCACCTGTTAGAGACGGTGTCCCACAGCTTCACTGTTCCGTCAGCGCTGCCGCTGGCGAAGTATTTGCCGTTGGGAGAAAACCTGAAATTAAAAAGCCGATAGATGACACCACTTGCTATCTAAGTTATGGACAATAGATAGCGCTGTTTTAGTTTCACAAACACCCAAATTATTCCTGCGTGCTAAAAACAACTTTAAACAGACTCCGGTAAGGTTCAAATTGCTTTGCAATAATTTGGATGACTCGTTAATTCTGCATAAACTAATATATATAATTTCAAAGACAAATATCGTGCTAAAAACGACCTTAAACGTACAACATTAAGGTTTAAATTGCTTTACTCACTTGATAGAATTCACCTGCTTCTTATGATGATGCGAGGGTATAGGGCAGACGAAGCATTGGCTGGTTGTGACGTCATACAGACGTATCACCGGGTGAGTTGTCGACGCTATGATATGATCACCTAGAGGATGGAATGACACGCATAGCACCTGCTCCGCATCCTGGAATATAGATGGCGCTGTTACATAAAACATAAGCTTCCGATAGATGGCGCTTTTTTATATCAAAAGATTGCAAACGAGCGAGCGGCCACCTGAAATCGCTGAAATAGCGAAGTGACCGTTGCCCATAGACATACGCAATTGCATATGCGTTGCCTACCTTTAATCCACGGAGGAGAGGATGCACGGAAAAAGAAAATATCGCTCGTTTGCTAACTTATGTTATAAAAAAAATTATAAATAAACCCACAGTTCATAGTAGTATGGGAACTGATTTAAATTTTACATTTCAACTCAAATAAATAGAAAAATCCTCACCGTGATAGATTTATAAGCTTTCTTAGCTGATGCCTTTGTAATATCAAAGAGTTTAATGCAGCAATCCCTGGAAGCTGACACCAGGATCTGTTCCCGAGGATGGAAATCCAGAGCTGTGATTTCATCTGTGTGATCATAACTAGGGTGAAGAAAAAACAAAATTAAAAACACCTTTTTGGCCGTCTTGACCGTTTATAATCTGACTAGTAAGATTTAAATAAACTTACAGTGTTCTGATGACCGGATGTCCTTGTTGCTCTCGGCCAGGATCCACTTCCTCGGGAGCGGACTTAGCCAACATCCTTTCCACATCCAGAATCTATAAATATATATGTACACTAAATAAGTAAATCTAAATACCGTTTTCTTAATTAATCTATTAAGCCTAGGCAATAGATGAGGATTTTCGATAGCTTTGACTATCTTTAGATAGGTTAAATTTATACCAAATACATCAATAAATGTGAAAAAGCAAAATATTTTATAGAATACTAGCGGACCCGACAGACGTTGTCCTGTCTACACGTCTTTAATTTGAAAATTTCAAACTTTTTTTAATAAGCTAAAATTAAAATTCGAATATTATTTAAAATTTGACACTGCGATGGTAGCTCCGTCTGTCGGATCCAATGTAAAACATTCCAAAATCAACAATTACTAATAAATTAAAAATTAATTAAAAAAACATTGTCCAGCGGACAAAATTGTGAATCTAAACCATTCCCAGATCCCCTTGAACGCACACAAAAAATTTCATCAAAATCACTCCAGTCGTTTGAGAGAAGTTCAGTGACATACACACGCACAGAAGAATTATATATATAAAGATAATCTTTATATTATATACAAATATTGTTTTTTAAATCTATATTTTCTACTAGCAACTTCATCACTGCAGAATTTACAAAGTATCCTATAACAAGCCCGCATGCATCCGCTACTTTCCTGTTAAAGTCCCTATAACATCAGTCTAGCTGTTCCGGAGATTACCAGAAACAAAGACAACTCACAGACCTACATAGACAAAGATTCCTACCAAAAAGCACTAACTTACAATAAAAAAAATATGAAAATCAGAACACCAGGAGTGGAGTTATGTGGTACAAAAAATACAGATGAATTAAACTCCTTTGAATATTGGTTATTCAACTACGCATATACGTTCTGAGCACCTCGATGTGAACGTATGGATGATCAAGTCCCCTTACCTTAATACTAGCATCCACACTACCGGTAGCGACTAGCTGTCCACAAGCGCTGAACGCACCAGCGCGGCACGCCATCTTGTGTGACGTCACGTACGCTGTCTCATACGTCGCTGGCTCTGGCGCCAGAGATGATGCGTCCATTTCATATTCCAAATCTGCAAGAAATAAAAAAAAACAATGTGACACAAGCAAGAAGTTCCCTTAATCCTCCAGAAAACCTAAGTAACCAATGTCATTGGACATGTCTTTAAATATCTTTATAATATTATAAATGTGAATGTTTGAATGGATGGATGTTTATTTGAAGGTATCGCTAGAATGGCTGCATGGCTCTCGATGAAATTTGTCATAGATACATAATATACTCTGGAAGAACACATAGGCAAATTAAGTTTTTTTTCTCTCCATGTGTACGAAGTCGCGGGCGACAGATAGAGTATAATTCTAGTTAATCAGTTTCTTGTTTTGAAGTATTTACCAAAGCCAGTTGTGCCGAGAAGATGCTCTGCTCCACTAGAAGCTGCCAGTCTATCCTTCCTATCAGGCTCATGTTGGAGACCCACCATCATTACATTTAAAAGCCTGTGAATACAACATTACTTGGACATTGCAACATCACTGTATTTTTCTAGAATCAAATAATTTTTCTAAAATACACAGCCTAAGTTACTCCTTATTACTTCAGCGACCTGTCAATAAAAGTCCCATCAAAATCGGTACAGCCATTTCATTAGCCAGAATAAACAGACAGACAAAAATTGAAAAAAATGTTATTTTGGTGTATGTACTGTATATATATGTAGTAAAAAAATGTTTATCTCAATATTACAAACACTCCCAGTTCTATTTATATGTATAGATTAGCTATATGTACTTACCTATCACTTGGTGGACATGGAGAATCAACATGTACGGCTGCTGAGAGGTTCGCTGCTATAGCTTGGAATCCATCAGAATACAACTGGCTGGAAAAATATTAATAAATACATATTAAGATCATAAGTTACATTTAAACTGGAATTTTGAATGAAATCAATATTCATGTAATGTGTATAAAAACAGTTTTAATATATCGAAAATATTTATTCATACCTTATTATCATTCGATACAGCAGTTCTCTATTTTTAACCACATTTCTTGTGTCTATTTCACCGTTATTTTCCTTCATTTTCTTTAAATATTTAGAACTTTTTAAAGCGATGTATTGCAAAATAAAACGCCGCTTTAACCAAGTTTGACGTTGACTGACATTGACACTTAGGAAAACAAAACAATAACCACAGATTAAATAGAAAAGTAAACAAAGATCACAGATCAACTAAGAATTTCTCTACGACTTACGCTAATGTTACCAGTTTATAAAAATATACTAATATTGTAATTTCTTTAAAATCCGAAAATAAATTATTTATAATTTACTAGCAGGCACCCGTGGGTTTATTCTCCTGGAAGATGAATTTTAAAATACCGATATAATATATACAACTACGTAATAAAAAAAAACACTGTGCAAAAATACAAATCCATCTCAGTATTTTGGATTCAATCAAACAAATCCATATCAGTTAACTCTTTTAAATATACAGCTGATATCAGATTAAATTTTAACTCAATGTCAAATAATAGCAAATAACAATTTATCTGTCGTTACATTTGTTAATGTTTGTTTCTTATCATTAATATTGGTTAATTACAATGACATTGTGAAAGTTCATAAGCAAAAAACATGTTCGGAATCATGTTTATATAACAATCGTGTAATTTACAACTTATTTTATACACAGACTGATAAAATTGGTTAAAGTTAATCTTATTATAATTTAATATTATAACTATAAAACTAATTTTCGACCAATATTGCTCTTTAAAATGTATACTTTGCCAGTACAAAGTCACCTAAAATAAGGATATGCTACAACACGATAATGCCAGATTGACATTAGGCCGATTAGGCAGGACAGTAGCGCTGGCTCGACATGAACTGCTTTGACATAGTGTTTCCATAGCGCCAGTCCAGTATAAGCTGAGAATATATACACTATGCCTATTGTATGCCAGAGCTGATTTCAAGCGCTCCTGTCTTACTGTACTGGCATAATGATAACCTAGCATCACTTTTTATGTCGTTAAGGAAAGTTTTATGAACATCTTGTCTGCTGTTTAACATCATGCAGCCTCCGGATGTCTAATCCGCGACATAATATTATGCCACCGTCTGGTATTGATAACCTCTTGGAGTCTCTGTGACCTGCAAGATACATTCACACTAACAATCTTTTGTTATATTATAAGGTGGCAGTGGCCACCTGAATTCGCAAAAAGCAAATCAACCGCAGACAGTAATCCCATTCGCCAATGCGTTGTCTAATTGACGAAGGACGCACCCAAAGAGAATCTTTACTTTTTCTATGCGTACACTTCCTAAGTTAAATATTATTTGGATACCTTTTTAACATAAGATAAAAAAAAGCTTGTTAGTATAAAAACATTTATGCTTACTAAAAGCATGGTAAATATTTGTAAAAGATTTAATTGAAATTAAAAAATAATTAAAACATATTTAGTGACGAAAGTCTAATTATAGTCCTGTTTCCACCCGTTTCTTATAAAATATGAATAACGGTGGACACATATGCGGTTGAAAATATTATCTTTTTATGCGTTTTCAACAATTAAAAGTAGGCAACACATCTGATACTGCAGGTGTCTATGGACATAAGTGACAGCCAATTAGGCGAATTCATTTGGCAACTTGCTCCTTTGCACCTTATAATTTAAAAAAAATGTTTCTTACTTCAGTTTTAATTGAACATATCCTACGAGTATAAATACAGAATCTGTAGAAAAAGAATACTTACTGGGTGTGAGATAGCCCTAATATTTTACTCTACGCATAGTTACATCTTAATTAAATGGAATGACCCACAGGGTCGACAGTCGGGGTGTCACGGCAGTTATTACCTATTTACACATCTTATTTTAAGATTGATAGTTTATATAAACAAGTTTTATATAAATTGCTGGCAATTAAAATTATTTGTAAACTCTGTACCAATTAAGAACTCAAACTTTTTAATAATGTTACGATTTTTTATGCTTAATTTTGTTAGTTGTAAAATAATCGTTTAGTAACTTCTCATATTATTTTGGCAGTTCTTAATTTTGGCATGCAGTACATTTTGTCGTTTAAAACTTTTTTATTTAAATTTATAAAGTCTTGGTAATGAAAAAACTTAACCTACCAATGATTTTTTCTTTATTTTTTTGCTGTTTAAATTCCTGTTTACTCTTCCGTAAAAATGACCTCTGTCGTATAGATTGACCTTAAGCGTAGTAACGTACCACGCCTTTCGAATGATCTCCGCGTGATGTATTTATCTTAATCACGTATTGATCTTGGGGTCGTATATGGACTATAAATGTATGAAAAGGTCAATGCCTTTATTGTGTCATTTATGGAAATATTATTTACGATAGGTATCCGTTTTATTTTCAACCCAATGGAGAGTAAAAACTGACAGATCTAAGTAAATGGCGCCAACGGGGAAAGTCGGCTGTCATCTGTCAAAGTTTATTACGTCATTTTGTTTTTTTTTTAAATACGGCATTTCCTATAGACTGTGCCGGAATTAAAAACAGCTCCGAAAAAGCACGGCTGAAAAAAAAACTTTTTTTTTTAGTGAAATTTGACGAAAGTCCTTGCGACGACTGAAGTCTACAGTGTACTTTATGGTTTTAAAAATTCTCAATGAAAATATTAATTATTGCCTGCCTTTTATATAGTGAGGCTTATTTATATGATTTTAGACATCATTTAAAGAAAAAAGGTAAATATTTTATAATACTTGTAGGTTATATAAAATAAGGACAGACACAAACCAGTCCAGTGTTATAATGGTCTAAGAGTTCATTATTCCAGTTGACAGTCTCAAGTTCGTTGTACTTCAATCTTCACATATAACAAAGATAAAATAAAACCCAGAAATATATAAAATAAATTTTAATATTGACAAAATTTACAGGAACAGTCATTTAATTTGAATATATTAAATACAATATTAAAAATTACATATAAAAAAATAATAATTTAAAAACTAATATAAAAAAAATTACTTAAATTATCAGTTCTTTCGTATATTAAACTCGATCTGTACATAAACCCCATTATTATTGTAAATATATATTTATTACAAAATATAATTCTCTCATAATAAAATATAATTGACATTTAAATTCATACACACAATGCAATTTTGTATTTAAACAAGATTGTGTGTGTTGTCTAGGTTCATTCCTAGTTGACATGCATGAAGTCTGGAAAAAAAAAGAAACTGGCTGAATGTTTATTAGAACCTTTGCCTTTGATACCAAAAAGAATTACGAAGAATTAATTACGAGAAGGCGGGAATATAACAATTTTATAATACAACAATTTCGTTTCAAGTAAGTTTTATATATTTGCAACTGAATATTTATTGTTTTAATTATATTAAATTTGTATAATTATAAAAATTAAACAGTTTAATGAATATTTCAAAGAACATCGTTTCAAATTTAACCTATAACACACGTAATGTTTTTTTATTTCTTCAATATGTTTTTGCAAATGTTTTAAACCATTAGATATTTGAAATATAAACTTTTTTTATAAATTCGGTGGGATACAAATAAACACTAGTGTAACCATGATATTTTAAGGATAATTAAAAAATATGTCAACAAAAATAATAAGGTAAAAAAACGTAAAAACATTACTCTTTTAACAAAAAATATAAAAACTTCTATTTCATTCTCTTCACGTGAATACGATATTAAATCACTCGGCGTCCTCGTGTTTTTTATTATCTGTGTATAATAAAACATTATCTATATGAAAGAGTCTACTACCTGTCTGGTGATAAATACAGATTAAATACAATATTTTGACCTCATTTATAAAAAGAAATATATTTAAAATAAGAACAATGTTATCGAAACGGAACATTTCGATCAATTTTAGTATTTATATTGTTTTTATACGAATTATTTAATATTAATTATTGCATATCATCAGCGTGTAATAAAAAAACTAAAACCTGTTTTATTTCTACTTCTAGGACAAATTTAATCCAGATTAAAGATAGAGCTAGAGCGTCGGTGGCACAGAGGTCAAGCACTTGACTTGCAATCTGCAAGTCCTGGGTTCGAATCCCGCCATGTACCAATGTGTTTTTCCATTTCCGATTTACATATGTACATTTATCCGAAGTTCTTACGGTGAAGGAAAACATCGTGATGCTGCACATATCTGAGAAGTAATTCAAAGATATGTGTGAAGTCAACCAACCCGCACTTCGGTAGCGTGGTTGACTATGATCTAATCACCCTTAACTTAGGGTTGGCTTCGAGCCCCTCGGTGGGGATGTATAGTGAGCTGATGATAATGATAAAAGATCTTAGCAAGAAGATTCGTGATAACATTTCGTATTCATCGACAATTACAAAGTACACCAAAATCTTAACATATTTTAAAGATGATTTTACGAAGTCGAAGTATATTCGTACCGCCTTTATCCGTTTTAGAGTTACCTGCTAGTAAACATCCATCCATTCATCACATAATATTAGTAAGTAATAAGCTAACCTTTTGTAACCTATTTCAGAGGTTATATAGACATTAAAGAAAAGATGTCTTGTGTGCCTCAAACAATTAATATAAGTGACCTCAATAAAGATGGCTGCTGATCAATGAAACTTCAGTTCTTACGACCTAAGATAAGGTAAGGGCGCTAGTTTATTCAACTCTATGAATAAAAATAAAATAACATCATACGATTGGTTAGAGAGCGTTGTGGCTCAGGGTTTAAGCATTTGACTTGTCTGCAGATTCAGGGTTTGAATCCTGACAGAACTCTGTTTCTATTACCGGTTAATGGATCTGGATGAGAACAATAGTCTGAAATAGCGAATAGGTTTTTCAGTTTTTTTAATTACTCGTTGACGAAATTTCGTGCGAGAGCCTTGTTCTGAAAATTACGAGATGTTAAACTATTAAAAATCTAATTTTAGATCGATAATATCGCCTTGAACTTAGACCCATACTGATTTCCAGTTATTTTATATTTAAAAACGATTGCCAAGCATTTTAATAAATTATACATTCATGTACAAAGGTTGACAAACCTCTTTTAATTCATTTTAAAGGAGTACTTAACCTTTTCGACAATTTATCTATTCATATAGTAAAAGTATTAGTTAATTTCATTTAGGAAATATTTTTAAGCTACCAAAAATGTCTGACGACTATGGATAAATATCTTTTACTTTAATATTTAGCATATTTTTTTTTCTATGATAGTAAGTTCGCAAATTTTTCCCGCCTATTTTTCATTAATTAATCCAAAGATTTATGAATAATCAAAATATGTTTGCTATGTCATTAGTGTTGTTGAAAACAAATACTAAACTTTATCGATACAGAGATAAAATTTAAAGAAACTTTTCGATAAAAAGCTTGATTTTATCACGACAAAAACTAGTATTTTCTATCAAAAGAAGTCTAATCTTAAAACATATCAGCCATATATTTAAATAAATAATAGTTTAATCGCCACACTAGTAAATAATTAGTCACTAAGGGAGACCTTTATATTTAGTATATCTCTAAGTGACGTTAATGACTGAGTTTCTTCACTGAGTGTGTGTTTTTCAATAGCCAGACTTCATGCAAGTTTACATAAATAACCGCCTTAATTTACCCTAAGTGAAAGTGTTGCGGTCTGTATTGGTATATTTGATATATAATAAAATAAATAATATTGTCTATGCCTGAATTAGCTTAGTCCACGATACCAACAGATCGCGTCTCACTTAAAAATAATGTCTCCTTAAAAATATATCGACAATCGCGCAACACTAGCACTTGATTCAAAGAAAAAAATATCGATAAGCTTAAAAAGAATATACCTCTATCTTCTGACACTATGGCACAAGCATCACAGATCCCATAAGGATTGATAGAACCAGAAAAAAGAACCATTTTGTTTTAAAATCACTTTCACCAATAAGGAGTATTGCCAGTATAGTCTGATCTGACTGGCCAAGAATTTCCATAATTAATTCTAGCACATGACACAGCTGGAACACTTCTCGTCGATGATTTCTCAATTGTATAATTCTTTCCATTATTATTGTCCCAAAATTCTCTACCTTGACAACGAAATCCGACACAGAAATCCAATCTTCTTGAATGTATTGGAAGTTGCAATCTAAATCCAAATGTATCATACGTTGACATACCATTTTGTAACAATGGGCCTGATTCTATGAACGCACAATATGTATCTTCATTAGTACTCCATCCATCAGAAGTTGTTCTCACGAATACTTCTTTGGAGAAATCGAGATTCTTAACCTTAACAGTACCGTCTACTGCCAATTCATTTTGTTTTAAAATAACATTTTCTAATGAAACACAATCTTCTGTTATCCTTCTTCTAAATTCTAAATAATCTGACGCCGGTTGTACAAATCGTGTCTCCCACAGATCAACCACTGGTTGAACTTTTCTTTCAACTGGTGGACTGGCTATAACTTTGAATGCCCAATACGGTGGTACATGTGATGGCTCCGTCATAAATTTCACATGTTCTAACGCGAATCCTCTATCATCAGCAAAAACAACATGTTTCTTCTTCTTTTCCGTTGATATTCTTATACATGATCTGGGTGCTGATTTCAAAGTCAACTGCACAGGTTTGAGCACTGATAAACAAGGCGCTGAGTATCCTCTAGCTGTGATCTTCGTTTGTCTTCTTGGTGGCGTATAATCTGTTAGGAAACCAGCCGGTGGACTGTGGCCGTAGAATAATTGCTCCGATGCCAACATATCGATCGCGGCACACATCTGGAAAGAGGAACGTGCTCTCAGTGATAATACAACGTACGAACTAAACGGAATTTAAAGCGAGCGGGGTATTTATAGGTGCGCGGGCGCCGGCCACGCGTCTGATATCGTGCGGACTACTGTGACAATGATAATATCAGGACAAGTCTTTTTATACTTTCTTAGGTAATTAAGAAATGTCTCGACCTCAATAACAAGATCAATCAAGCTATTAGATTATTGAATTGTTTATAATAACTGGAAGTAAACAGTAGTAAAGCCTGTTGTAACTTAAACGAAAAGAATTACATTTCTTAATTGATTAAAGATATGTAACTCCTTCCATTAAAATCAGATGTCGGATTGACTCGAGCGGTGTTTCAGTAGCATTTTATTCAATTAATAAGGTTCTGAAGGCTAAGGAATACTACAACATGGAGCTATCTGATCCTCTTGTTTAATAAATTGATCGAAATGAACTGTACGGAGATGTCAAAATATAATAATTTATTGTGGAAAAACGTTTATATTCAGTAATAAAGATAACCCACACATGATTATATCCTTGCATACATTTCGTATGCTGTTTACTGTGAATGCATGTTATTGTTGCATTTATTTTTAAATTATTGACATCTTGATTGTAATTGGAGCGAGGTCAAATTGAGATGACTTCAGCATAATTAAGATATAAAAATAAATGTGTTTTCTTTCTCATTTTATATGTTGTACACTATCGTAACTTAAAGCCATGTAATTTCTAACTCTTGTTAATATTATAATATTTTTTATTATTTCATAAGGTGGCAAACGAGCGAGCGATCACCTGAAATCGCAGAAATAGCGAAGTGACCGTTGCCCATAGACATACGCAATTGCATATGCGTTGCCTAACTTTAATCGACGGAGGAGAGGATGCACAGAAATAAAACATTTCTATGCATCCTCTCATCCGGAAAGTCCACTTCCACTTCCCATCCTTTCCTTATAAGAAAAAGGGTAGGAAGGGAAATAGGACTAAATTAGGCCTCCGGGACGCACACTCATCAGACGAACCGCGGAATCGCTTCCACTTGAGGCGTGTCTTCTGTGTGGTCGTAGTATAAATGTGAATGTTTTAGTGTATGGGCGGTTGGATCCAGAACGACTCAACAGATCTCTATAATATTTAGTATAGATGTAGAACATAGTCTAAAAGAACACATACGCTACTAGTTAAGTATATTAATTCCGCGCGGACAGAGTTCCGAACAAAAGCTTTATTAAAGTCATTGTGATGACTTCATCGGTTGTCATGGTAACAATGTATGTTTACTAAGTTATTATTGCTAGAAGATTAATTTTCAATGTACCAAAATATCATATATTATTTAGTATTGTGATTCATTTGGTCGACTCCTAGCAAGTGCTATTAGTCAAGATGAAAACAAAGTACTATTATTTCTATTATAAGAATTAGTTAGCCATTTATAAGTTATTTAAAGTACATATCCAACTTTAGAAATAATATTTAAATCATAATAGTGAGAAATAACAAGCTGTAAACACAGATAACATAAGTAAAAACAATTATAAAAATCATTAAGTTATTATTTTAATGAGATAATTAAATGGCGTCGAACACAACACAATAACAACATTGAAAAAGTAACAAATATTATTCCCAATACGATATTATTTATATTAACTTTCGAACTCTTTGTTTAGATTTTTAATTATTCATATTGACAGTTTTAAAAGAGCGCTAACTGCGTGACGTTAAGCTATCCATGATTTTTATAAGAGAAGGGAGTAAACTACCAAAGGGAACACCGCGGTATTCATTGACGTCCATGGGCAACTGCAATACCAAATTACATGTGGAGAAAGTCTGGGAGTACATGCTACTATTCATTTTTTTAAGTCCGCTCGTTCGGAGTCATGGGCGACAGCTAGTATCCTTATATTAATACTTGAAGATAAAACTTTGTCTTTTAGCGAATGAATGAACGTCTCATTTGACACTTAAGTGAAGAAGTTAATTAAGCTTTTTTTAATTGAAAAATATCTCTGATTATAATATGATATAAACCTTATTTATAGGATAAAAAAATAAATTCTTTCTTTCACTTTCACTTGACACAGGACTGTCCTACAAAATCTAAAATGATGGTCACTGCACATTTCACGCAGCGATCACCGGCAGTGCGGCGTCGCGCGCGTGATAGTCTGCTAGTTCTACCTGTTGCTATACCAGTCCGTGCGATGTGGTGTAGGCAGAGACAATAGCCCCTAGAACATCATTGCATTATAACTTTAGTCATCCCGTTCATTACCTTACAACTTACACTAATTCGTCCGGGGCAATACCACGAACAAACACACACCTCAAGTGGAAGCTATTCCAACTACAGTCTGATGAGTGTGCGTGCTGGAGGTTAAATTTACTCCACGTTCCCTTATCATCATTTCCTTTACGAAACTAATGGAAAGGGAAGGTTTGATAACCGAGAGTGTATATAGTCCCCTCCTCCGTCGATTAAAGGCCACCTAATAATAATAGAAAAAACTTTTCTTGCCAAATTTGGAAGGTTAATTTAGTCCCTCTAAATACTTACTACCTGTCGCCTGCAACTCGAAAAAGAACTTAATTAGTAGCCTATGTGTTCTTCCAGACTATGTTCTATATGTATGACAAATTTCATCGAAATCCCTTGAGCCGTTCTGGAGGTACCTTCAAACATCCATCCATCCATCTAAACATTCACATAGATTCACAGGATACTATTTATTCTTTTTTTCGAATTTATGCCTTGAAGAGCTGCTTTTTATTTAACTTACTAATATTATAAATGCGAATGTTTAGAGGATGTTTGAAGATATCTCTAGAACCGCTGAACGGATCTCGATTAAATTTGGCATACGTATAGAACATACTCCGAAAGAACACATAGGCTACACTAATAGAGTTTATTTATTATATCCACGCGGACGGAGTCGCTGTCGACAGCTAGTTTATAATATTAGTAAGAAGTAAGATATAAAAGAAAATCTAAGTGTCATTGTGTCGCACGCCCCAAGATACCTTATGCAATACAAATACTGTGGAGATATCGTTAAATACACATATTTAAGTAAATAACATGATCAACTAAGGTTGCCAACTGTCAACAATCTGTCCCAATTAAATAAAATAAAATTCATTGAGTAGTTTTTGAGTTCATTGTTTCTGACTGATTTAAAACTTATAATGAGGGGCAAATACACTAATATAATATTTTAAAAAGATTCTTATTTTTTATGTTCAAAACTCAAAAACTCAAAAACTACTGGACACATTAAAAAAAATCTTTCTCCATTAGAAAACTACATTATGCCTGAGTAATATAGACTATTTTTCAGATATACATATTAATCTATACTTCTATACTTGTATAATAAAAAAGAAAGATTTGATTGTACGCATTAAATAGACTCCGAAACTACTGAAAAACTCTTTCACTGTTGGGAACTTACACTATCTAAGGTGACATAGATTATAATTATTACTGGATCTTTATTTTAAAATTGTTTTAAATAGTTTAAAATATATATTTTTAACTTTTTCAACCCTAACATTCCTTGACTGTGTAAGCATTTTTATTTATTCAATGCAAACTCAGTCATGTGTTGATATGAAAGAATTCAAAATCATACAGTTGAGGAGTTTAACAGTGGTAGAGCCCGCTTTAACATTCGCATGAATTGTCCCGGCTCGTCCGGTGAAATACCACGACCACACAGAAGACAGGTGTTAAGTAGAAGCAATTCTGCGTACAGTCTGATGAGTGTGCGTCCCGGAGGCCTAATTTAGTCCTCTTTCCCTTCCCACTTTTTCTTATAAGGAAAGGATTGGAAGTGAAAATGGACTTTCCGGATGAGAGGATGCATGGAAAGGGAATATATTTTCTTTCTGTGCATCCTCTCCTCCGTCGATTAAAGGTAGGCAACGCATATGCAATTGCGTATGTCTATGGGCAACGGTCACTTCGCTATATCAGCGATTTCAGGTGGCCGCTCGCTCGTTTGCCACCTTATGATATATGAAAAAACCTCACTGTAATCGATTCTCACAGTGCACCGTCGATAAGGAGTCGTCCAATACTCACGTGGGTTTTAGCAATTTTTTGACACCTCCCTTCTGCTGATATGAGGTCATAGCATATACTTGCTTATAGTTCTTAAGCTGACAGCTCTATATTATTTGATCCTAAGTGGGATACGAATTAATTTCTCTCGCTGCATACAATCTCAGAATGTACTTGTTTAACATTGTTGTAAGAGAAATGAAGGATTTACTTAGAAATTATTGTTTAAAAAAACAACATCGCGTTTATGTGGCTGGTTCTATGAAAAATTCAAAGTTTATATGTAACTAGTTGTCGCCCGCGACACAGTCCGCATGGATATATAAAAAAACTTAATTAGTGTAGCCTATGTGTTCTTTCAGACTATGTTCTATACGTATGCCAAATTTAATCGAGATCCGATCAGCCGTTCTAGAGATATCTTCAAACACCCATCCATCCATCCACATCACATCCATCTAAATATTTGCATTTATAATATTAGTAAGTTAAATAAAAAGCAGCTCTTCAAAGCATAAAAAATGAATAAATCGTATCCTATGTCTGCTTCCTGGCTCTAAGCTACCTCCTCTCCAATTTTCAGCCATATAGGTAAAGCCGTTCTTGAGTTATATAATTTTTTGAGGTATCTCCAGAAAAGCTAAAGGGATTTATCTAGAACTTAACTTAGATGTAGAACATAGTCTGGAAGAACACATAGACAACTTACTCATACTAAGTTTTTAAACAGCGCGTGGACTTTAAACAGCTGTGACCCGCGACTCGCGACCAAAAATACCGCGAAAAAAATCTTAGTAGTCTATGTGTTCTTCCAGACTATGTTCTACATCTATGTTAAGTTCAAGATAAATCCTTTTATTCTGGAGATTCAAACATCCATCTAAACATTCGTATTTATATGAGTAAGATTTATGT